TAGTCCGGGGGCGGTGAAGTACTTCTAATGTATTTCCAGTAATTTCTGGTAGACTGCATAAAACTGCATAAAACATTATTATGTATTTCGGGCGTAAGTTGCTTTTATGGACCTAGGCGTGATGCTAATCTTATTTACACGTTGCGGTCCATAAAATACTACTTTACGCATTTGATACATAAATAACATTTTGTAGAGATCATATTACTCGAGCCTGTACGCGTCATTTCAATTTTTGCCCACCTTGTATACGAAAGATTCAAACGTATGCGAAGACCACAAACCCCTAGAATTGCATATTATGGATATACTTGATTTTATACCTCCTCGCACTAGGTCGCCTACTAGGTTTTCATTTAGATCGACAATGATTAAACACAGCGAAAAAGTTTTGTATATACCACATATACCATATACACGAGGTGTTTTTGAAATAAGTACATACATACATTTGAGTATGTGGCCAAACTTCAAAGGGTGATTATTTGGGTGATTCTAAGACGAAAAGTTCATACATATCTAGGTCCTGAAATGCTTTGTATACAAGATACAGGGTGTTGAAGTTGAAAGTATTGATTGTTGTTTTTCATGACTCAAAATTTAGCCTGGTTGGTGACTGAAAAAGTGTCAAAATATCAGAATAATACTAAAAGTGGGCGCACCTATATATAAATTAAAATTAGGAATCAAATCAATTTTTCATTATTTCCTCAGAAACTGAGTGATATATAAAAATTCAATAGATAGAGGACAAGAAAGTTGTATTTTTAATTGTTTAATTTGCTGAAGATATCGAACTTGGAAAAAACTATGACGTAGGTACCTTATTTACCATAAATATCGGAAAGGTAACTCACTGCGACGCCACTGGAATCCTTATTTCGAATCCAATTACACCAAAAAAAGCTAATTATACCAAGAGAAGTTTATTGATATTGTAACAAAATCACCAAGTTTAATTAAAATTGGAAAACAGAAATTGGAGTAATTGATAAAAAACGATTTTTCATCGAAGACGAAGAAAACGAAGTATTTCTGGACCTTTATTTTTTGCGTACCTATAGGGAGGGTAGGGAGAGGACGTAGGAGTTGGAATTGTTATTGAACTCTTGGAGTTCTTGGGAATAATTCGAGGAATACTTCCATTGGCAAAGAATTCTAAAGCATTATAGAGGAACGAGTTTTGGTAGAGTATTGTTCGACATTTCCCAAGGTTACATGAACTTTTCGTCTTGAAATTGGGCCACATACTTAAATAACACCCTGTACACTGTATATTCAGCACATCGATATGATATACAGTCTAACGTATGTTCTCGAAAATTGAACAAAAAACGGGAAAAAAATGGAACATCTCAAACGATTGAACTCCTTGTGATTGTGCCTTCTGCACGCGGAAATTTGAACAGAGGTGACGTCAGAATTACTACATTGTTAAAATTTGGGTGGAAAAAGGGGTCTTATCTCAACTTTCAGTTTATTTTATTATTATTATTATGTTATTTATTGGTGCCATTCGATATAGTATACGTCGAGTTTTCTCAGGGTTTGAAATATTTCATTGCCACCCTGTATATTGAATTCGAAGTTATTTTTAGAGGGAAAACATCAACATTATAATCAAAATCACTACATAAATGTTTCAACTTGTCAAGGTCAAGACCATATATATAACTTCGAGGTTACTTTGAGAGATGCACATCCTTTCATATATTTATACATCATCATAAATTCCATGAAAATAGTGAAGGGTAAACGATATGGTATATTTGATATTGATGTAAATACAATTTATAGCAACTATATGTATGGAAATGCAACATTTTTGACTCTTGTCCTCTATTGACAGAAAAGAGGAAAACGCTATACATACAGGGTGAGTCATAAATATTGAGACATAGGCTGAGGGCGGATTGTTTGTACCAAAATATGGCGATATGACCAAATATACCTCAATAAAATATTGCAGTGGAAAAAGATACAAGGCGTTTCAATCGAAAAAGTATTGACTATAAACTCGCATCGAAATTCATTCACTGACACGAAATGTAATACTCCATCAGCAACAATTATCGCACAGTTTAAAGCACCCTCTTTATGAATGAAATAATGGTTGAAATCCCCTTCCGAGTCTTTAAACTGTTCAATGGCGTTTTACTCGAAAACCGATGAAAATATCGTTTTTGAACTAGAGTACGAATATTACGTAGAAATTATGTTTATGTCATATTTTCTAATCAAAATCACTAGAAAAATTAATCAAAAAAAGTTATCAGTCGATTTCATCATCGGGATTCATTCACGTGGCGACCCCTGTAAGAAACTGTAGAATAATACAAGAAACAATATTCCCTGTATAAAATTATGCTTCTGTGCCGATTTCGATAACATCTGATAAATATACAGTCAAATTATTAGCAGAAAACGTAAAAATATTCAACTTCAACGCCCTGAGTCTTTCCACAGCAATTATTTAATAAGGAATATTCGGTCCTTTCGCCATATTTTCTTCCAAACAATCCGCCTTTAGCGTATGTCCGAATAGTTATGACTCACCCTGTAGTCTTTGTATATGAATAAATAGCATATTCAAACAAGTTCCAATATCTTTTTTATGTTGAACAAGAAAGTTCTGATACAGTTCCCTTTTAGATGCATACCAGATGAATACTTATCGATTCAAGAAGTGACGAACTTCAACATGACAAAAATTTTGGAGAATTTTGGAATCATATTATGCCGATTTGGTTTGGATGAATAATTTTGTCTCAAAATCTGGTGTCGTATAGACTATAGAGAATCGAAATATATTTCAAATGAGGTGTCATTTCTATTTAAAAAACTTCCATAGTTTTTATCAAAATCAAAATGTAGCTCTTGAACTATGGAGCAGAGGACAATTGAAAAAATCCCAGCTGTCAGCTGCAAGCAAAAAGTAACTAGGTATGGGGTGAATTTATGGACACTGTGTATAGGTATCTGCTATAGGGTATGGTGCAAAACTTCCATGGTGACTATACAGGGTGAATCTAAATAACGCCGAAAAAGTTCAAGGGGTGATTCCAGATGATATTCTAGGAAATAAAGTTCATATGAACAACTTGCTTTGTTCTGGAGATACAGGGTATTGATATTTCCATGAAAAATCGTTTTTAATCATTACTCAATGGGGGCTGATTTTTTAAAACGACATTATCGTGAACTCTATACTGAAAAACTACCAGCGAATTAATTTTGAATTTTGTCATTCATGCTAAAACGATGAAAAAAATAAATTAGAATATGTCCATTTCAAAACACACAATTCCTGCACCATTTGAAATTTTGTCAATTCATTGGTGTGACTGGTGCGACGTCCTAGTCCCAACACGCCTATTGTCCATGAACTGACCAATCACACTGCAACACTGCAGAATGACGAGGTATCAGAGAGAGATAGCTAGAGTTCGGGACTAAGACGTCACGGCTCCACCATCATATTTGGCTGTTTGAAATATGCTGATTTCAAAACGATATAGATTCGATTCCATTCAACTTCAACTCATAATATTGATTGTACATCAAACGTAAATCATGATTCGTCGATTGAAAGAGGTTTGCATGGATTTCTTCCCTCAGTGGACTTCCCCATTGTCTTTCCATCAATTTCAATAAAACGTTGTGGTTTTGTTAGTAGTCATATGGCGCTTCTTCTAGTGCAATTAGATTCGAAATAATATTTCCAGTGGCATCACAGTGGGTAAATTTATCGATATTTATGGTGAATGTCACGGTTTTGTCTGAGTTTCATATTTTTATTAGATTGAACTACTGGAATAACAATTTTTTTAACCTCTGTATGATTATCAAGCTTAGTTTTTGAGGAAACTATAAAAATTCGATTTGACTTCAAATTTTAATGTAGGTGTTTTCAAGACTTTCATTGAGATTACTCAATAACCCCATTGAGATTAATAACCCCAATTACAATGAAGTGGTCATCCTCTGGGTGCCAGGGCATATCGGAGTGGAGGGGAATGAACAAGCAGACACTCTGGCACGACAAGGGGCCTCAACGCCACTGATCGGACCAGAACCATTCTGCGGCTTTGAAAATTCCTATTTCCAAGGAGCACTTGAAAAGGCGGAAGGAGCCTTGAGAGCCAGGCAATGGAGAAGACTTCCAGGACTGCGGCAGGCTAAAGATCTTCTCGGAAATTTTCACCGAGAAAGATCTAAGACACTGCTAAACCTCAGCAAAGGAAGTCTCAAAGCAATAACGGTATTTCTAAAGGGGCATTGCAGACTCAAAGAACACCTAAGGAAGCTAGGCGTACAGGGGGACGGCACCTGCAGATTCTGCGAGGAAGAACCAGAAACACCCCATACCCCATCACATACTGATGGAGTGTGACGCTGTACATCACAAAAGATTGAAACATACTGGGAGCACACCAGCTGACTGTGGAAGAAATACCACAGCTAGATCCCCTCAAAATCCTCAAATTCCTGAAGGAATTGAATCTTGAGGGGCTGCTATAAACAAGAAATCCTTGATATAGCAGAAGCAGATGGGGCACAATAGATCTAATTAGGTCGCAGCGCATCTGTCACCATCCAACCTACCAATACCAACCCCAATTACAATCATTTTGAAATTTTAGGGCTTCCTCAGTCTCTAACCATACTGAATTTTGGCACCATGAAGGTTTATACAGGGGGGTTATAAATAAAAACAATTGATACTTCAAATTCCAACATCCTGTATCTCAAAAACGGACCAAGTTAGGACACATGTTTATATGAACTTTATTTGTCAGAAGGAATCACCCCTTGAATTATGTAGGTGTCAGTTAGATACACCCTGTATAAAGGGTGTAATTTCTCCTGAATATTCTCACTGTTGGTCACTATAACTAGATCCCGTGTGTTTCGCCTCCAACTACAGGAGGGAGTGCGGGGGTGAAGAGACCCCCTTAGACCCCCTTGGACCCCCTCGAAAACGTTTCCTGAAGACTTACCAGTCGTATAGTCCAAGGAGAGTGGCCAGCGAACTCACACACTTCACAGTTTTGAATGAAACGGCCGAGCAAAGATGCTCGTATATACTCGACCTACATCCCCATTCCACACGTACCGTCGTCCTACATGGCTCTGCTGTGTGCCCCCCTTTTTCCGGAGGAAGGATGCCCCCCTTTTTATGTCTTCGTCGCTAGTGACCGGTACCGCACACCAGATAGTTTATTGTACCGCACGGTTCTCTTACTGTCGGTTTTGGGATCGTCCGAAAGATGGTACTAAGCGGATGTAGGTATACAGGGTGTATAGTATAGTATAGTATAGTATAGTTTATTTACGAAGAAATATATCATTTACAAGACAATGTGCATAAGTAACGATAGCATATGAAAATAAACGAAATACTCACGAAACCATACCTCAAATACATGAGTATCAAGGATAGTTTGTGTGTGAGATAATAGAAAATATATATATATATATAATCAGTAATACAAAATCGACACAATAATATATAAATCATAGGAATAAAATAAAATGCAAAGTTCAAATAAAGATTTTGATCAATTTTTAAATATGACATATGGGAGAAAAAAAAAATCAAAAAACAAAAAACAAAAGACACGATATGAATTGTAAAGTACAGGTTACATATAGTACATAATAAAAGATATGATTAATGAAATATAAAATTCTTTAAAAAATACAAGAAAATCTTGAAGTGGAGTAAGATATATACAAAAATGGTAACAGTGATAGGCAAGGAAGTAAAGCATGGCTTTTCATAATACTCAGCTAAGATACGATGTGATTTTGAAGTCATAGTTCTAAAATTTTATGAATTTCAATTCTTGGTACACTTCTAACGTATTTTTTCACTTCCTTCTTAAATTTATTGAGGGAATTGAGTTTTGTCAAGTTATCGGGGATTGTATTGAATATCTTTGAGCCTATGTATTGATAACAGTTTTGACCTATTCTTTTGTTCATGTATGGTGGTATATATTTGTTTTTTCGTCTTGTTTGGTAATTATGAGTATATTCTTTGAGCTCATTTTGATGCAGAAACTGGGTTGTTAATACATCACAGAAGTATAGTTGTCTGGGATCTAATATATCCGCCTCCATGTAAAGTTCATCGCTGGGGTAACGTGTGTTTTTTCACAGCCATATTCTTAGGAATCTCTTTTGGATCACTTCTACTTGTTTGAGGTATGTTCGATACACTCCACCCCACCCTATTATTCCATAATTGAGATGGGATTCGAATAGGCTATGATATATGGTCTTCTTCTGGTCGAAGTTGATAACATTCATTATCTGTTTGAATTTGTATAAAACACAACGCAGCTTACTCACTAAGAAGGTCATGTGCTTGTCCCAACGGAGGTGACTGTCCATCATTATGCCCAGATATTTTATTTGAGATTTAGATTTTATTTGCAAGTTGTTATCGAGATCAATATTTTGGAATGGAGGTTGAGAAGATGCAAAATGGTAAGTAGAATGTTTTTTTATAGTTGATGGATAGGAGTCTGTTATCAAACCACGTTAACAATTCAGGAAGATAACTTTTTATTTTTTCATTTAATTCATTCCAGTTATCGCCTTCATAGAGTATTACCGTGTCATCGGCAAAGCTGACTAGATGAGCTGCCCTTTGATTGAGGAAAAGGTTATTCAGGTATATTACGAACAGCAAAGGCCCCAACACAGTGCCCTGAGGCACGCCGCATGATATAGGTTGCCTTCCACTCAAGTGATCTTTGATTTTAGTTTTCTGGTATCTGTTTGTTATGTATGATCTCATGAGTTCATGCGCCGTGCCCCTAATACCAATTTCATCAAGTCTTTCCAATAATATATTATGGTTCACTGTGTCAAATGCCTTTGTTAAATCTAAAAATATCCCTATAGATGACCTTTTATTATCAATTGCTCTATAAATTTTGTTTGTTATGTCTCTTATGGCGTCTCCCGTAGATTTTTTTTGTCTAAATCCATATTGACTGTTTTATAATAAATTATTTTTTTAATTTTAAATTTTAGAACCTTTTCCAGAATTTTTCCCAAGTTTGATATAAGGGCTATAGGACGGTAGTTTGACATCTCTTCACTATCACCCCCTTTATGTATGGGTATTATAATTGACTCTTTGAATTTCTCTGGGAAGATACCTGTTTCTAATGATTTATTGATAATTTTAGTCAATACTGGTAGGATATAGTTTGAAATAGTTTTTATTGTCTCAGCTTTCAACATGTCTGGTCCAGGCGCTTTTTTGGTTTTCAAGTCAAAGATTAGGTTTTTAACCTGATTAACAGATGGGAATAAGAAAATACTCTTATCTGATATGATTTTCTTTTCAGTGTAGGCAGGTGAAGGTTTAATTTTATTCGCTAGGTTTTTGCCAATGTCGGTGAAAAACATATTGAAATTATTTGAGATTAGGTCTGCGTCACAGACCATGGTCCCTTTTTCATCTCTGATTTGAGTTATTTGAGATGACTTTTCTGCTTTAGTTAATTCATTTATTACTTTCCACAGGTATTTTGGTTCTGAGTTTCGGTTGATTTTGCTTTTGAAATATTCCGCTTTTGTTCGTTGTATTAGTTGACTCACCTTTTTCTTGAGACTTGCATATTCAGATTTTAGTTCAGTGTTGCGGCCGTCTTTTCGCATTTTTTTGAACAAATAATTTTTCCTGTTTATCAGCTTGATTAAAGATGGCGTTATCCATGACTTTCTTTTCCTTTCTCTATTTCTGATTCTTATTCTACTTTCTGATTTACTAACTGCAACTTGAATCAATTCGATAAAATTTTCCACCGATACATTTAAATCCTGAATCTCCTGGAAACTAGACCAATCTATCTGAAAGACCGAAGTGAGACGATTGAACCAAACTTACCTCTACAGGGTGTATCTAAATAACACCGAAAAAATTCAAGGAGTGTTTCCTTGTGACATTCTAGCAAATAAAGTTCATATAAACATGTGTCCTAACTTGCTCTGTTTTCGAGATACAGGATGTTGAAGTTGGGAGTATTAACTGTTTTTATTTATAACCCTCCTGTATAAGCTTTCATGGTGCCAAAATTCAGTATGGATGGAGACTGAGAGATTACCAAAATTTCAAAATGATTCTAATTGGAGTTATTGAGTAATCTCAATGGAAGTCTTGAAAACACCTACATTTAAATTTGGATTTGGAATTTTTTCGATGTTATTTAGATACACCCTATATACCAAAACACACCACAGGGCGTTGGAATTGAATTTTATTTTTTCATCGAATATATGAAATTCTGATGTCAAGCACGGTGTTTGTTGCCAAACTGCTCCGAAAACGGCTTTACCGATTCATATGAAAATTTTTGTGAATATTTGGTAGGTCTGAGAATCGGTCGTCAGCTATTTTTTAATTTGGAAATTCAAAATGGCGAATCCAATATGACGGATGAGTTTTGTAATTATGATCAGATTCTATTTGAAATTGGTACCTTGAGGTTGTCGCGGGTTCGGAAATTATGATTAATTATATGATTCTCACGTCAAAATTGGGAAATTCAAGATGGAGGATCCAATGGCCGACGACTTTGATAATTCTGTATCGATTCTATTCAAAATTTGTATCTGAAGGTTCTCGGGGTTGGAGATCATGATACTTTCGTCAATATTGGGAAATTTGAAATGGCGGATCCAATATGGTGAATGAGTTTTGTAATTATAACCCGATTCTATTCAAAATTTGTATCTGGGAGTTTTCGTGGTTGAAGAGTAGGACCACAAAATATGTGCTCTATTTTTCATTTCATATTTTCTAGATTCCCCCCTCAAATATCAATATTTTGCAATACTTGAGGTAATATATGCGAGTGCAACATATGGTATTCTTCGGCATATAGTATAATTGACATTGACAATCGCGATGGGTCTTTTTACCGAAAATCTTGGCCTGATGACTATTTTCTATTTTGCATTTGGATCTTAGACAAAAATTATAGATTCGAAATCTTAATACAATTAACTTGATGTGTTAGATAGCCTTCAATGAGATATTGAACTATTTCTGAATGTCATGTGATATTTCAGTTGTCACATGACCGTATAACATAAGTCATGCAGAATCACCTTGTATATAAAATAACTCTTGATGATCTATGACATAATGGTCTTGTCATTTGACGGTACAGAATTTTAAACGATTCTGAAGAAAATATAAATGGATCCGGTATATCGACATTGACCCAGGATCTGATAGGTAATATACCTATACCTAGTCAAGAAATAAATTGACTGTTACAGGTTGATGAACTCTCAAATTTAAAAACAGTTCACACATTTTTTCTGACATCCTGAATTTCCTGAAAGATTTCAATAACGATTTAGTTTCTTCAACATTAATATTTACAGGGTCATTAATTTTTTCGAAGAGATAAAGTGGGTGATAAATCCTCCAGGAATATAAATAACATACTTGTTCATATACCCCCAAGTGGAGAGGGGAGCATTGGGAAGCACTACAGGGCGTTGAAGTGCACCAGGGCGATAAAAATGGTTAATTATTTCTTGGCTATTTTTTTATTATCAATTATCATCATTACGAGAGCATACACAGTGATGTCCGTAGCTCATCATTTTTCTCATCATGAATTTTCGCCAAGATTTCTTGTGAATTCATAAAGAGCAACTCAGATTATACAGATCAGAAGATATGCAGGCTGATGGAAAGATTTAAAATTAATGCCCTGTATATATATTTAATGTTGAGGAAAGATATCATCCTTCTTCCACTCAGTATATCCACATCAGAACTTGTTAATATACTCAATTACGTCGCGTTTTTCCCGCCATTTTTTAACGAATTATTGAGATATTGTGCATGGGCTTCTTATTTAAAATATTTACATGAGTTCTCAGAAAATAACTATGGAGCTATCAAGGAATCCCTCCATGAATTTTTTGCACATATTTAATGGACATCCTGTATTGTTTATCGGGCTATTAAAAGTGCATTAATAATTTTGCGATGCTATTTATGAATTATTTGTCACGGTATCGGTTGATTAGAGGACCCATCTGTTGCCCTACATCGTATC